GGCGGGCGCACCCGGGTTTTTCCCCGGCCCAGGCTTAAAAAGGGGGGGAGGGGGGATTTAAACCCCGGCCATTTCGCATGCAAAGGGAACATTTAAACCCCGGAGTTAACCCCCCAACATGTTCAGGGGGGGGGGGGGGGGTACTCATTTGTTACTTGCCGTAGTCATTTGACCATTGACCACGCGTCCCTTTCGAGACGGAGCACCGTTCCTACACCTACTAGAGACACCACCAACATTTGGGAGCTCTTTACGTTTCTGCCACAAACTCCATAAAAATTTCTTGCACATCTTATCCCCGTCCTCTAGGGCCTCTTGTGCCCACCATCTATCCCCAATTATCGCGATCGTTTTTTCGCTGTTGCCTAATTTACCAAACTTGTCCATGTCACACCCTCTCTGTCTCATTTCCTCCTCGAGATCCTCTCTTTCCTTCCTGTACAACTCACACTCCCCAACTATGTGGGGTCTACTCTCCTCCGATTTGCCACATGGACATGTGTGTCTATCCTCCTCTTCCTCTATCCTACTGCTGGTATACCTCTTCCTCCGTTCTGGCAAGTCCAGATCGCCTACTCGAAATTGCAATTTCAGCTTTTTCGCATAGTCCATGGGGCCGTCCAAGGACGTCTTCATCCCTATCCCTTCTTTCAACTTCCCGTATATCTCGAAGTGGTCTTCGCTTCGTACCTTCTTCCGAAGGGTTGCCTCCTCCCTACTCTCTAGCATCTCCTTGACTTTCGTCTTGAACCCCCCGAACCCTTCCGTGTCCAACGTCTCCTCCTCGTCTCCCATCTCCTTCCAAACCTTCTCTACCGCCTTGTCCCATCTGATTCCCTTCTTCCCTGGAGTCGCTTTTCCCCAAGCTGCCTCGTCAACCATGGCTGGTAGTCTATCGTCCGACATTCTACTTACCTTGTACTGCCAATTCAACTTCTGCATGTCTCTCTTTGTTTTAAGATAGTACATTCCCAATTCTGCTCTCAATACAGTGTTGCTCGTTGTACTTGAACATCCTAGTATTTCCTTGGCCGCTGCCATCTGCACCGTTTCCATCTGTTTGACGGCCTTTTCGTTACCTTCCCATACCTCTCCAGCATACTCTAGCTTAGGTACAATCACATTCAAGAGAATACACCTCTTAATCCTAGTGTCTAGGTGTGGGTCCGTAAGGATCTCGTCCATCTTGCCTATCTGAGCTTTACCCTTCCCAATCAACTTCGCTATGTGTGCGTCCCATGAGCACTCCTTCGAAATCTCTACTCCCAGGTACATATACTTGTCTACTACCGGTAGTTCTTCCTCCCCCCATTTCCATTTGAATTCTACGGGATTTTTCTTGTCTTCGTTACAGACCACTACTGCGCATTTTCCTACGTTCGCCGACAGTCTCCATTTTCGGGTGTATCCTACCGCCGCATCTA